GGTTTAAATTATACTCTTTAACTTAATGGATCCACATCTTTCCCCTTTTGCTTACCTTTGTGCTTTATTGCCTTGATGATGAACATGTCAGTTGTGGGTGTTTGTCAAAGTGTGCAGGAAGTGGAAAATCTTGACCTCAGACAACAATTTATGGTTTAACTTATTTGAAGAAAGATGGGGCATACATTGTGCCACATTTTATGTCCCCATAGATTCGAAGTCATGGAAAGAAGTGTATGCAGTACAAGATCGTTGTGATCGAATTGGATTGTAAGTGAATTTATTTGCAGCTATTTTTCATTTCCAAGTTTTGCATCTTTTTATGGTCCAGTGAAACAGAGAAGACAATTGGGAATAAACCTTTTCCCTCCCACTAACCCGACCTACCCCATGGCCCCTGCTAGGGCTCAAACCATGCTTAGTAGGAGGAGAAGTTTTTTTTTTTGTCACTTTGAAATTGTGTTCTCAATAGAAATCATTTGTTCAATAAAAAGAACTAGCCTTGTGACTCCAGGGGGCTGAAGATAGTAAGGGAAGGAAATGAGTACTACCTTGTCCATCAAGGTGAAATTCAACGATATTTGAGTTCAAGAAGACAGCTAGAGAGAGGAAATAGTAGCAGTTTAGTTAGCTCGGGAAAAGGCCTTGCAGGACCTTTGGAAGAAGAGGAACCTTGCATGGGGATTCTGGACCGAATCCTTTTCTTCATTGGGGACTTGGAAGCTGCTTCGGTATGCGCCAAGCGAAGCCGGGTGTTGTAAATTGTTCTTAGTGAGATGCTGAGAGTGTAATCTGATTCTTTGTCAATATGTAAACTGTAATGTGGTATATATATGGCTAGTGCTGTGATATTTTATTCGGGTTGAAGCTTGTTATTGTTCTTGTTATTTTTTTTTGAAATTTATTTATCTACTTTGTAACAAAATCAACTTGAAATATATTATTTAGAGAGGTCATATCCAACGTACAAAGTTTTCATTATTATAAATGCTTAAACATTTATAATAATGGTGTTTTAAAAATTACAATATAGTGTTATAAAGGATCATTTACACCGTTTCAAACTGTCATGAGCAAAACTGGCATCTTAATAGATGCTTAAACATGAGAACTATATTAGAACAAGAAATAATTTGAATTATACATAACAAAATATAGAATATCCCAACAATAAGAGATGCAGACGCCAAACTGAGGCTAATGTGACTCAGTTCGCTTTAAGGCACGGTCCCGTACCTCTCTTTTCCTTTCTTTGCCTGCAGACCACTAATTGTAGTTTAAATAAAATGTGACCATCACCATTTGAATAGAACGTAGCATCAAGTAAGCCAAATCCTGTGACAGTTTGTGGAATGAATTAGGCGGTGTTTTTCAATTTTGGAATCAAGCATCGTTCAACGGCTCAGCCTCGTTGTCCTTTTCCTTTAATGCTGTCCAATCTTCTGTCTCTGTAGTGAAAACACATGTTGCAACAGTAAGCACCTAGAAAAGCTTCATGCATGGACTAATAATACACTATAATTACTAGTCATTTTATTTCTGCTTCAAAATTGGTACTACATAAGCCTGAAACAAAAATAGTACAATAATGAATCATGATTTGAAAACTCAAGAGTTCTAGTGCAGAACTACTAACTTGACTTCTCTGCTATCATCAATAGCCGCCTCTGCAAGATAGATGCAACAAAGAGGAAAATCGAGCACATCCCGAACATTACAGTGATAGGGAACGCATTAACCTTCATATACATACAGAAAATTAGTAACATAAAAAGGACCTGATGGTGCATGATAAAAAGTAAAAGCAAAAGAAGGCATTGTGTGCAGTATAGAGAAAGAGGAGGGTCAATATTCTCTAATACAGGCCAAAAATAATTTTTTTGCCACAGTAACTATGTTCCGGCCAAAGAAAGCAAAATTTACAGCACAATTCTATTTCTATGAGCAGAGTGCAGTCTTAAGGTGGAGCAACAAAGGATAGAAAGTCCAAAGACATACATTGTAAAGAACGATGCAAACAAAGATGTTGAGAGGAATGCGGAAAAAGTTCATAATGGTGCTCCTCGCCTCCTCAGGAATGTATTGCGACCTCATCTTCACAATGGAAGGCCAGAATATACCCACACAAGCCTCAAAGGTACAGAAGCCAATAAGCTGGATACAACCTGCAAATGAGATGCTTCCACCTTCCACCTTAGAAGGAGCTACCAAAAACTGTTCCAAATAAGCAAATTAGAGATGGCCATAACCAGAGAATTTAAGAGAAAGAAAAAAAGGAAACATGCAACCCACTACATACAGTAGTCACAATAGGAAGCCGAAGAGAGGCAGCAGAAACCACAAAAACAATCTGCATATAGCTCTCAACTCTTAATGATGTGCGGGCCATCAAGCGAGACGCAATAGTGCTTCCCAGGATTGAAGCCAGCATAAAAGTTGCAAATATAAAACCGTGGGGAATGTCCTCCTCATTTGGGCTCAAAGCAGGTGTCCAGAGGAACACAAAGGTGTACATTGACCCTTCAAAGAGGGATTGTATTGCACCAAACAATGCAATCTTCTCATCTGATCTACATAAACCATACTACAGGGTCAACAAGGAATACGAACAGGAATAAAAAAATGGACACTTAGCAAAATATATAGATTGACAATGAGAAAGCAGCCAAAAACCATTTAGGCACAAAAAAATCTGACCACCATTTAAAAAGAACACCAGTGAAAACCCAAGAAGAACGTCGCATCCTGGAGTGGTGATATAAGATATAGGTAGCCTGTTCTTTATTTCTGTCTTTCAAAATTAAAACTGAAGCCAATCACTGGGAAGAATCATTGAATGGTAAGTCCTTAATCACTGCTTTTATACTGTATGCAGTACCCAAGGGCTACTCCAGGAGTATTTTATGGGCTGTGAAAGTATTTGAGATCTTAAATAGGTCTCTACCTGAAGCAATGGCCACAGCAGCACCGTTGAACTGGGTAAGCAAGTCCTTGTTCTCTGAAGGGTCACCATAGTTCTCACCCCACGATGATGGTATAACTGCCATGCCAATGGCAAGAAAGCATGCAGTGGCGTCAAAGGGGGACACAGGCCCAAGACTCGTGGTATCAACTAGCAGATTTCCGAACAACCCGGGCACAATAGCAACGAGACCATTGCTGAGAAATATTGGGAGAAAGTTATTGAGAGCCATTGTTGATCAAATCCTCTCTGCAGAAATAGGCAGAAAACAGGGTCAATGACAATGAAAATGAGGTAACTTCTATGGACAAACTACAAACTAGTTGTTGCCTAGAGTTGGCTTACACTTACACATCCAAAAACGGATGACAAAGAAAGAACCACAGCTTGACGGTTCAAGTCCTTCATCGCCAGGTCAGAAAGTATCAAAGGAAGGCAGCAGAAAAGAACAAGAAAAACAAAATGACAATATGACGAAAGGGAAAAGTTTGATGACAAGTGGGGATCCCTAGACACAATCTTTTGAGCATCCTATCCAAAATAGGAGCAAAATAAACAAGGGCGGAACGATCAAACAATTCCAGTTCTGTATTTCTGTAGCCAGTGTTTCTGGCAACTAGGGCGCAATTGAAAATTATTAGAGTCAAAATTATGGATATAGATCCAGTTTCACTAAGTAGTTTTCTTTTCTTATTTCTTGGAAGAATTTATGTGACTACTATAATCTGGTTACAAGAAAGAGAGCCCAATGAATCAGCAGCATCAGGACAACAAGATTAATCTAAAGAGTTTGCAAGATACAAGAAATTTAAGTAAAACTCCGGAAGCATTATGATGATGAAAAAATTGCTTACCAATGCCATCCGTCATCAAAGTTCTAGAAAAGGCTCCAACAAGAAATAGGCTTTTAGAAAGAAAGTTCCCCCATTGTGCAAAAAAACTACAGATTATGTTCACACCTAGGGAATCCAATTCTCAGATGCAATCATGCTCACACAAAATACCACAGTTACGCATCAGGATCAATAATACTGTTCATCAAAATTCAAGTATGAACTGTAATCAATTCAATATGGATTCCTCTGTCACCAGTCACTAATACAAGTAAGAGCCTTTTACCTTGTTGTGTTCAGCCACAAGCCATGATTCAAAAGCTGAAAATAGGAGAGAAGTGGCAATACCACCCAAAATACGACCCAACATCAAAACTTTGTACTGATGAGAATGCTTGGTAATACAGGTTAATATGTAAGTAATGCAATAAGTCACGCATGCTCGTTTCCGACCCCTGAATTTAAGTTATGAACCATCAGAAAAACATGTGAATAAGCTATTTCGTCACAAAACAACGTGGGTACCTAAATCAGAAAAGAAAATCTCACCATTTGTCATCTATCCAACAATGGTGCCAAACAACATTGAAGATCCAAATCCTTCGATAAAGAGCTGCCCAATTTCTCCTTTCCCATAGCCATACATCATTCAATTGTTAAGACAACTTTCACTGTAGACAAAGGCTAGTATGGCTACCATGGTTTGCTCTTGAGAACAGCTACACCATGTGTACTGATGCATGTAAACACAAGCACTACGATACCTAAAGATGGTCAATATCACATGTTATGCTTAACAGGAGACAAAGTTATCCTATTGGAAGCATGCATCTGTCTTTGTTTTTTCAGTATTCCAGAACTTACTTTTTAAATTGTTGAACTCGACTGGTTTTTGCCTCTCCGCAGTCGGTGCAACCTAAAGGTGGTCGCCAAAAACAAGTAGATCATGGGGTGGCATTTGGTGTCCTCATCATCCAAAAAGCTTGCAAATGTCTTCGCGCTCTCACCAAGAAAAGGCTATTACATCACCTAGAGGATGGTCATTGAATCATCACCACAGTGGTTGGTTGGCCCACGGCTCAGCCTCTCTCAAGCGACTATTCATGTGGGTATCCTATCAAGCACCAACAGTGCCCATTGTTGAATGCCTCAATCGGCTGCCGCAACTGCAAGGTACACTCAATTCTTACGAGGGTGGGTAAATCCCTACAGGATTGGCATTATCGAAGAAGTGGCTGTCATTGTCGCCTCCATACCCCCTTGACAGAAAATCTACACAACGGTCATACTCTCACATGTCAACTGCTGGTCGTGACCAGTTAAACTCATGAAGGGTCTAGTTTTTGCTCAAGAATCCACAATGCACCTCAGTATTAAGCTCTCCATTGTACAATAGTGAATTGCATAATCAAGGAAGTGGTTGTCACCACCACTTCTCATCCCCAAAACAAAGTTCTATGATGATCTTTTTGGGCAAAGAAAACTATCACCATATCCTTGCTTAAAACAAATCAAATTTCTCACTGCTGCCGACTAACTGCTTTCTCTGTCACACCCCAACTCCAAGGGCATGACCAGCCGTGAACCATAGATCCATAACCTATGGAACACGTAAGCCTAACAATAAACTAATAATATAGTAGTGAAAAATAACATTAACACTAAATTGATCTCATGTCAATATGTTAAAGTCAACATATCTAAACTTGTTTACCCCAATTATCCAAATACAAGTAAAGAGGGCTATACAATATATGCTACGAAGGTCACAACACTATTAGTCCCCAATCAATTCCCTGAGTCCGCTATTGACACTCCAATCGTTTACCTAAAAAAATATTATTTTGAAAACATGAGCTAAAAAGCCCAGTGAATGGAAAGACATGCATATTCAAAGTGGCTGAAAAACATATTTAACATACGACATGTAAATCAAAGGTTTGGAAAAATAACTTCATCAAGATAA